TGAATGGGAGATGGAAGGCAGGGCCCCTGAGATGGATCCTGGAGGCTGAATAGGGCTTCTGTGAGCTGGACAAGGCCTGAAAAAGCAGCCTGAGCACAGCACAGGGCAGCACCCAGAGACTCCGTCCCACGCGGCTGCACTGAGGATGCAGTGGGGGCCGGATAATGCAAACCGTTAGGGGAATCTGTCAGTACAAGTATGGGCTTTCTTGTTTTTTAAAGCCATACCCTTAGCTGGAGAAAATCTATGTCTGGCTTTAATTATTCATAATATGCCTTTCCCCAGAGAGTGGACTGAGCAGTCTCTTCAGCATTCTCCCTTCTTTACTGCTGGGAGAACCTTCCAGTGCTTATCCCAGCAACTTCCAAAGTTTGCTCTGCGAAATGCTAGTCTCTTGAGATGGCCTTAAGAAAAGTCATCCATGATCAAATGTGTTTGGAGATGGTGACCTGGCTGACACCCTGTGAGTTTATCTGCATCAGCACAGCCATCGTCTCCCGGCGTCCCACACTACAGACCGTCTCAGGCAGAGCTCCTTCCTGACACTACTTCATGATGCCAACTTCTTTTTCTTGCAACGCTAATTAATATTCCAGGGAACTCCTGGGAGCAGGCTAGAAATGCTAGGCTGGAAGCTTGAACGAGTGTTAAATGGACAAGTTAATAAGTATAAATGCATGTGATCCTGGAGACCCTCGTCTGCTCCCCACGCTGCTAAACGCTCATCTCTGCCGAGAAGACAGATGCATAAAAGAGCTAGAAGTGGGATCTGCAACCCTGGAACAACCTCAGCAGCGCCAGGGGCAAGCCTGCCCCACCATCCTCAGCAGCTACACCAACCAGGAGACAGTGTGAGGGCAAAGCCGTGGCAGAGGTGCCACACAGACCAGCTCCGGAATCACCATGGAAACTCCCCCTCCGTGGAGTAAGGAGATGGTAATGCAGACAGCTGCTGTATAATAAACACAAGCAGAGACCGAGTCAGAGGCACCTGCTCAGGGGGAGGAGTGAAGGGAGAGGCACTTTCGAGGAGAAGAGGTGATGCAGGCCAGGGAGGGGAGGATCAGCCACATACATTATCCAAGACTGGGAATGGATGCTTGAGCACCACTCTGGGCAGCTCCTCGCCACACTCCCCCACCACTGGCTCTTGCAGCACATAATTACTTGAGTTTAGATTACTCATGTGTGGCTTCCAGTCCTTACGGAGACCTGCCCGAAAGCGAGAACCCAAGCATGTGGCACATCCTATCAACTCGTTCGCAAACATGCCTCACACATTGTCCACGGGTATCGCCGCATCCCTCGCTGCTCCCTGTGACTCAGCCACAAGGGGCAACCCTCCACTTCTGGCACCCCTATTCCCACTCTGCACCCGTTCACGTGGGTTTTGCATCTCAGATGCCCCTCTCTGTCTTTTCTATGTAATAGGGGTGCACGAAACCTGCAAAGCCCAACTCAGAGGTACCTTTCTGCGTCACAGATCACTATTCCCTCTGTCAAATACATCCTTTTTTTGAGTGACTTCCACTCATCCTTCAGGACTGAACCTGGACATCCATCCTTCCTAGAATGACTTACTCGCTGCTCCGAGCTGACTGTGACTGCCCGTATTTCTCCATCCGGATACTCACCAATTTGCACGCTGGTGTCTATTAACCCGCCTGTCTTCCCCGCCACACTCAGCTCAGCATGGCTATTTGAACAAGTAAAAGCTAACCATGTATCAGGCATGTGGCACATGCACTGTAAGTATCTTTACATGGGGGGAGGCCTGGAGGAAAGGAGGGACCAGCGAGGCGGGAGTCACGGGCAGGGCGGAACCAACGGGGCGGGGCTGGCCAAGGGGGCCACAGACCTGAGAACTGGACGGCAAAGCCCTGCTTGCTGGTGAAGAAGTCGGTGCTGAACTGCAGAACCACCGAGTTGAAGGTGCTGTGCAGGTCCTTGGGCAGGACCGGGCCGCTCAGCTCCTTCAGCAGGACCCCGCTCTCCACCGGCCCGTCCCAGATGCGCAGCACGTCGTGGACCTCCTCCGTGTCGAACACCAGGAAGTGGAGCCTGCGTGGAGAAGAGGCAGAGGTCACCCCGGGCTCAGCCTTTTCCCCCAGGGGCTGCCCGTCTTGGAGAAGGCTAGAGAAGGCAGGATCTGGAAGCTTCTCTAGGATCCTAACTGGCCAGCTCCTTCCTCCCAGGGACCCTAGCAATCGGGACAGGGCAAGGGGACATGGATTTTGTGCATGTCGTTTATCATTGCAAGCTCTGCGTTGCCGTCAGACCACACCCCTCTCCTCAACCCTAGGCAGCCTCACTTCTAAGCGCCATATCCTGACCATTACAGATTGGAAGCGGCTGGGTCTGGGTTGGGCAAAGAATATAAATAGAAACACCAGTGGGGCTGGAGGGCAGGGGGATCTGCGGAGTCTCCGAGAAGCCAGCCCAGCCGCAGCGGTGGCAGAAGTGAGATTGTACCTCAGTTTCCCATAAAGAGAAACCCTATAATCCCTGCCACCCTCGGGAAGCCAGGCAGGGGTCTCCTGTGTGGGAGGCCTGCAGGCCACAGATAGAGCTCTCAGAGCAAGACCGCTCAGCAGTGACCTGAATTCTGCAGGGACCAAAGGTTCTGGCAGCCAAAAATGCCTTGGCTCCAAGCCTGCGTGACTCTCTCACTGTTTTTCAGTTTTTCTACTGTGGAATACTTTTTGATTAACAGAAAAGTTGCGAAGACAATGCGGAGAATTCCCAGAGACCCTGGTTCACCATTTCTGCATTGCTAACGTCTTACATTTCCCTGGTATTACACATTTCGTCACAGCCAAGACATGGACGTTGGCGTGCTACTACGAACCAAACTCCAGACTTTATTTGGGTTTCACCACTTTTTCCACTGATGTCTTTTTTTCTGTTCTAGGAGCCAGTTCCTTTATCACTATCTCTTTTTAAAAATAGCTTCTTAAATTTTAAAAATAAGACATGCTCGAGGCAGAGAAAGGCGAACAATATACAGATGTACTGAATTTTTAAAAGTCTCTCCCAAATCGTATATATAATAGATTCACACACCCATATATATTATTCCCTCAATATGAGACTACATTTTACACAGCTTCATGCAACTTTCTTCACTTAATACCAAATAATGGACGTTATTATAGTTCACTATTTTATATAAAACGGCAAGGAACATTTCCATCTTTATGCCGCTTTGCCCATTTCAGTTAAAGTTTCGGTTCACTTGCAGGAATAATTTTAGGGGGAATAAGGGTATCTGTTTAAAAATTTTAAATAAATAATGCTAAATTATCCTCTCAAGTGGTTTTACCAATTTATGTTTCCACTAAACAGTATTAATAGTACTATCCTCTCCAAACTTCAACTCACCAACGTCAGATATTATGCTGTATTATTCTATACTAGAATACTCCCCCATCTGCTACACCAAAATGAAATCTCACTGGCATTGTGAGTTTATACAATTTAGTACAGGTGGGTATTTTCACCTATATTTCTTGGGCATTTTCATCTCCGCATACCCTTTATCCGTGTTAGTTGGCGTTACTGGTCTTTTAAAATTCTATTTAATTATACATTATGACTTATTTGTCTTTATATATTTTGTTTTCTCTTTTATATGACATATTTGTTGCTAATATTTTCTCCTAGTGTCTGGTAATGGTGACTTTTCTTCTCTTTAAGTTTTGTGTATGGTGTCTATTTTTGGTATAAAAATCATTCATTTTTTATGTAACCATATATGTTAATCCTTTCATTCCAGGATACTAGGTATCAGATTATGTTTCGCCAAAATTTCACACGCAAAATGATTGAAAAACAAAACTTTTAATAATTTTTTTTGGCCGGAGCTGGGTTTGAACACGCCACCTCCGGTATATGGGGCTGGTGCCCTACCCCTTTGAGCCACAGGTACTGCCCAAAACTTTTACTATTTCTCCAAAATTTGTATCATTTAATTTTTTTCTTTTTTAAAATTAAATAATAACTGTGTACATTACTGCATTTATGGGGTACAATGTGCTGATTTTATATACAATTTGGAATGCTTACAGCAAACTGGTTAACATAGCCTTCACCTCACTTACTTAATTGTGTTAAGACATTTAGACTCTACTCTTAATAAATTTGACATGTACCTTTGCAATATGCACAGTAGGTGAGGTCCCACCCATTACCCTCCCTCCACCTGGCCACCCCTCTCCCCTCCCCTGACTTTCCTCTTCCCTCCTTCATTCTGGGCTATAGTTGTGTTTTATCTCAAGAATGGAAGAAAAAGTATCCAGCGTACTCAGTACTATTATGAAACCAATATACAATCACCCACACTTTCATATGAATCGTATCATTTCATTTATCAAGATAGTTAAGTTCATTATTTTTCCAAAGGGACACTCAATTGTTCCACACCTTCTATGTCTGCTTGCTCTCTTGTTACCGTTTATCGGTTTACACTTAGTATGTGTATTTGTTTACTCTTCCTCTCCCTAACTAAAACAAAATTTTCATGAGTGCAAGAGCAGGTCTTATGGTTACAGCCCCAGTGCCTACGATGTGCCTGACTGTGGGTGGTGCTAGTGAATACCTGTGACATGAAGATAAGCTCATAACTAAATCATCCTCCCCACTGGGTTGAAATGTCCTCTTGCTTGTGATCTGTTTCTGGACTTTCTTCCCAGTTCCAGGGCTCCCTCATTTGCCTACCCTGGACTCTACTTGAGGTACAAGGAACATGGCCACTCAGCTTAGTGAAGCTTCCATAGTCTCAGATTTTAATATCCTTATGGGACAAGTACTCTTTCATAGTGTTTCCTCAACATTTCTTAACTAATTTCTGCAATTTACTATTTCAGATGCACCTTACAGTGATTAAGGACCCCCCCAAAAAAAATCCTATGAAGGTTTTAATTGGAATTGCACACATTTATTGATTAATTTGGGGACAATTGACGCCTTTAATTTTCCCTAGCCAGCCAGGGACACTGCAGATATCTTAACTTAGTTTATGTACTTTGGCAAGGTTTTATGGTTTTTCCCTTTGTTAGGGTTTTCCTCTTTTGCACTGTTCTTGTTAAATTCATTCTTTGCAGTCTATAGGTTTATGGGTTTGGTTTCCATTGTGAGATAGATTTAATTTCAGTTCATTTTTTATTGTTGAATATATACATTTGTATGTGTGTCTGTTTCTCATTTTCAGGTCCCAATTATTACTAGGAGGAGCCTGGTGAATGTCTCGGGTTTCCTAGGTAGAGCCTTTTGTAGACAGAGGTGGGATTCCTCAATACCAGGAGCTGTGTGAGCTGTGGGCATACTCACTACTGTGCCCAGCTGCCCCTTCCCTCTCTGCTTTCTCTGTCGTTTGATGTACTGTGAAATTGGTAGCTAAGCACAGGAGGGGACCAAGCTTGAGGCTGATGTTCTGCGTGTGCTCTCAGAAAAGGAAGGTTGAATGCAAAGCCTGCACTTGTCAGGAGGGAGGAAAAGAGACTTGAAGTTTGGGTGGCATGGAAAGATGTGTGTTTCCTTTGGATTTAATAATATAAGACCCAGGGCAGAGAGGAGATGAAGGTGTCTGGGAAGAAAGGCAGCTGCATACTTGAGTTCAGGTGGTATCAGTATGTCACAGAGAATAGAGCTGAGCAGAGAGAGAGAGAAGAGGTTGAGGGCTTCTGAATTAGCCACAGGAGTTTGGGCTTTATCCTCTTCTAGGTAGAGACCATTTGAGGTCCCTGAGGTGAACGATTGAGTGAATGAGTCGTTGAATGAATGAATGAATGAATGAAATCCCCATCTGGCGGGAAGTTGAGAAAAGCCAGAATGTGGAGATTAAGTAGAAATGAAAGAAAACATGTTTCTATAACAACCACTGCACATAAGCACCCCCACCTTACCCCACTGAGTCCATGAAGGCACCTGTATTGTGTAGGGAGCGTCCATCTCAGCTTTAAAAAATTAGAATACTGAGGCTCTGAGAGGGTAAGAAGTTTGTCCCAGGTCAAGGGCTGGTTGGAGAGTGAGCCAGAATTACTGTTATGTAATAACCATACAGGTCAGGCCTCAGTGCTTCTTTCCACTCCTTCCCCTGACGATGCTGCCCGCATTGTGGGGAGGAATATGCTATGGCTGTGCCAGGCAGGACAGCAGGGGCTCTATCAATAACCAGTAGTCTACATGTGAATCATGCCAAAGATCAAGGGCTGGTATTTAAGACCATGGATTAAAAACGGCAGTTCATTGCATTCGGCTTAGCTGATCTGATGATCAGAGTCAAAGGCTTGGTTGGCATTGACCTTGTGGGGAAGAGTGCAGGGAAGGGGAGGGAGGAGCTGGGTCCTCTGTGTGCAGAAACAATACAACTTGGCAACCGAGGGGAAGGAAGGAGGCTGGGGTTCCAAACCTCTTATAGCGTGTTCATCTATTTAAACCCTCCTCTGTGCTGGGTGCTGTGACGATGACAGACAGGGTGCCACCTTTCAGGAGCTTCTGGAGATGGGGAAGAAAATAGAGTGCTGAGGCAGAGCCACCCACTTTGGATGGAGTGGCTAGGGAAGACCTCTCTGAGAAGGTGGCATTTAAGCAAGAGGACAGGCTCAGAGAGAGGTGGCTGTGTGGAGAGCAGGCGGGAAGCTTTCTGTGCACAAAGGGTAGCAAAGTGCAAAGGCCCCAAAGGGAACTGGCCTGGGGCATGTGAAAGCCCCCAGGGTGGAAGCTGGGCCAGGGAGGCAGGCATAGGCCAAGGCAGCTGGGAAGAAGCCTGGATTTGACTCTATGAGCAGAGAGGAGTCATTCAAAGATGTAAAGCTGAGGCCTGACAGTCTCTGATTTCCATTTTAAGATCACTCTTGTTGCCCGGGTGAGACCAAATTGGCAAGGGTTCCAGCAGATGCAGGAAGTTAGCTAGGGGGCTGTTCCAGGGGGCTGGTGACCCCTTTTATTATAAACCCTTGACAGCAGCTGGGAAAGACTCAGTTTTGCCAAACTGAGCACATTTATTATGCCTCTTACTGAATACTCTTCTCCTCTTTTAGAAATCAAAGTCTATTAAGTGT